TATTACCCAAATTCTTAGAGGGTCCCTGCTTTTCTTTAAGATGAAATAATTTCTAAGAAGACTTCTTTGGACTTGTTTTACCTTATCCAATGAGGGACTCTTCTATAATCCAATAAGCAAATGGAAGGAAGAAATTTCAGAGAGAGGAGAGAGATAAATAAGGAAAGACAGCAAATCCAGTATTTGTAGGAAAATATTGTTTGCCTAGGACTAAACAGTGTTAGTGGAATACAACATAGTGTACTCACTCATCTTTGCCATTATGGTTCAGACCCAGAATGTCTCCTAGAATCCTGTGTGTTCAGAGGTTGGGCTTTTGGAAGAAGAATGGATCATGGGGTGCTGTCCTCATCAGTGTATGTTCCAGGGATGAGTGCAGTGTTAAATGTATTACTAAGAGGTAGGGCCTGGTTGTAGAAGGGTCCCTAGGTGTGTGTCCAGGGAGGGTCTCTTTCCTCCCTGGCCTCTGTCTTTTCTATCTGCTCCCTGGCTGCCATCACGTGGCAGCCTTCCCCCACAGTAAGCCTTTCTGCTATGCTGTTTCTGCATTAGAGACTGCTAACCATGGACTGAAACTTCTGAAACTGTGACCCAAAATAAACCATTCTTACTTTAAGTTATAGATGTCAGGTACTAAGAGTCAGCAACAAGAAAACATGAGCAAAAGGGAAACTGAAGGTGTCCACAAAAAAAGTAACACTAACTGCCTCCAGCTCTCCCTTTATTCTTCCCTATCACAACCACAGATATTCCCTTCTGTTTCCCTTCACTGTTCTTCCTCTTCCTGCTGCCGCTTCTTCTGTTTCCTCAATCTAGGGCAGTGGTGACAAATCTATGGCACACATGTAATGTGTTTTTCTTTTATGACAAAAGATGTTACAGTATGAGCTGCTTTTTGTAAACTGAAACATCAGTATTCAGGTTTAATTGCAGTGTTGGCTCTTGGTGATGAAAACATGAATCTGGTTTTGAACTCTGGGCACTCATTTATAAAAGATCTGCCATCACTGATTCTGAGCTTACCCTTGTCTATGGGCTGCAATTTTATCCTGAACACTATCAGAATGACTCCGCATTTCTCCAGTTCTACTATTGACATTTGGGCTGGATAACTCTTTACTGTGGGTCTACTTCACACACTGTAAATATCATGCAGTGTATCAGAGGTATCACTGCCTCTAGTCCAGAGTCCAGTGCTTTCAGATATTGCCATATGATCCCTATATGGAGCAAAACCACTGCAATGGCTGAATCTGTCTCTATTCCCTAAGTAATGTATGTCTTGAGGTTAAGAACAGATGATTTCTAGGGAGGGAACCGAGAAAGAATTTTCTCATGGTAGATGTCTCAGGAAACATTTTTATCAAATAGGTACAATCAATTCTTTTATGAATTCTATTTTTTTTCAATCTCAAGAATGCCCTAAATCTTCACAAAATATATTTTTCTTGATATCATGTCAGTTGCAGATTGGATAGATGGTATCAAGATGGAAGGACCTTTCTATTTTGACCTCAGAAATGGTGTAGGAGGAACCTGTGCATAACCCAACACATTCTAGTAAAAGCCATTATGCATTATTAGGCTAATTTGATCCTCAGTGCTTTGCTAGCAGTGCACTCTGCATTTGGAGAAGAAAGAAACTAAAGCAATGAAATCTGTAACTGGCAAATAACTACCATGTGGTCCACTACTAAGGGGTCTTAGTCTTATGCTTACCTATGTAAATGCTGTTTTTCTTTGAGTTTTTCCTCTTTTTAGAAAACAGTCCACTAAAATCTCACATGCAGATCACTGAGCTGAGAAGAAATTCTCAGGTTTTTAAAATTTTGGTAGTTACTCATGCTTTTTACAGTTAATTCTCTAAGAATTTTAAATATCATCTCATACATAAATTCCTTAAAAGGTATAGAAGGCATTTTTGTCCTTATTTCTTAAAGTTGTTTCTTCTTCATCTCTAACCTATGTTGAGACAGTCAGGTTCTGGCACTAACAGACTCTATGTTAAGAAAAAAAAAAGATATGGTGTTGTTTTCTTGCCAGTAGGTTTAGCCACTCTTTACTCAAAAATTGAGAGCATCATGATTTTTTTTTTTTTTTACCAAGTATTGGTATTTGTATCTTTAGAAAAAAAACCTAGAAAGCATTCTCATTAGCTAGATCTCACCATGGCATTTGGTGTGACTATCACTTCTTCTTTTTTTTTTTTTTAATCAGGTGTTTTGCTCTTGCTCAGGATGCTACCTTCTCCTTGGTCTCTATCTTTCCTATTCTTTTCTTGGTTTCTCTGAGTCTTAACTAATGTTCTGCTGATCCTGTGCTCACCATACTACTGAGTATGCATGGGTAAATGACACTTGCCCTCCTCTTCATCTACACTACTCCCTTCCAGCCCTCTCCTCTAGGTTCTTCCTTCTAAGCATCACTCATTTGCTGATGACTCTCACTATCTATCCAGGCCTGGATTTTTCCTGAGCTTAAATATTCTTGTATTCAAATTCCTATTCACTAGCTCCTTGGATCTAATAGGTGTATCAAAATCAACATGGTGGAAAACAGAAGCCTTTCTTCACCATATCTCTAGCTCATTCCTCCTTATGAACTCAGTCAAATGTGAAAGCTCACCTCCCCCAGCCCTTTGCCTCCACCATCTCTCCTTTACTATGCTCAGAAAGTTCCTCAGTACCCTGTCCCTATATTCGGACCATGTTAACTCTAACACAGTCTCTCTCCTAGTTAAGCTTCTTGTCTAAGGTGCAGGTCCTGGGTTTCCTGCTCTTCTGATATTTCTTAATACGGAAAGGTCCTGCTTTCAACAGTTTGACTTCCTCCTTTTACTGTCATCAGGAGGAAGGTGGAGGGTATGACATTTTTGAAACTCATTCTTTATCACTACCTTGATCATCCTTTATGATTAGTGCACAAAGCTTTTTAATGTGACAATTACAACACGGCAGTTGTGACACCAGGGTTTGACTTGATCACATGAAAACACTGAAGTAAGATAATGACATAGAATAATATCATTAATTCTTCTGCATCTTTGTATTACCAAACAAAAAATGAAACATATGTCTGTATCATATTCTATAGTCTCATTCATCTCTCAATCCCTGTGGATGTCTTTAAAGATGGCATTAAAAATAAAGTAAAAGCACTCACGATTAAAACCCAACACCAAAACAACATTATAGTAGAAAATAAATAAATGTATGAGCATCATAAAAGTTAGGATGAATGCTTAAAATACTGTGATAAAGTTTCAAATGTTCAAAACGCACGTGAGAAAAAAGTACAAAACTCAAAAAAAAAAAAATCCCATAAAAACTAGTCCCACAAAATCTTATAACTGGTAGTGACACTTGTTAGACAGAACTTCCAACCTTTGAAAACATTACCTTTAAAAAGGCCATTACATCTGCGCAGTGACTCTAGGTAAATATACTAATAAACAGTGTGAAGAATCGTATGTTGTCTGAATAAGGTGTAAGTTTCCTTTTAACGGTTGATAAAGAAAACACTTCAGAAGAGGTCTTTTTTTTTTAAATAAAATAAAAATCACCCAAAGTGATTCTCATTCTTTCAATACAAATGAATAAAGGGTTCTATAATTGTGGAACACACTCTTTGAGAAGTGACATTTCTGTCATCCAGCCTCCATATAAATGAGCCACTCTAGATGAGGATAGAGAGTGCCTATTGGCAGGGGACAAGACCAGCAGGTGGACAGCTACAAAGAACTGGGCCTTCTTTAGATTATTGTTGTTGTTATTGTTTATGAAAGAGAAAGCTAAACTGGAAATTTCAGGTATTAAAAAACAGACACCACAAACCCAAAGTGAGAAGCTAACTCAAGACTTAAAAGTTTAATGATATAGACAGTCACATGCTGCATAGTGATAATCAACAATGGACACCTATGATATTCACATGACAACTAAATTGCCTAATGATCCCTTTTTCAAGATACACCCTTGTTAACTGACCTGTAATTGTATTTAAATTGCTCCCCTATATGAAGTTATAAAATGACTGAGAAAGGTTTTTTTGGAGAACTTGTTGGGATTGTGACTTTTCTACACCCTTGCTAAAAGATAAGGTGTTGGGGGCCTCTCAGACAAAAGGACTTGCATATATGAGCCTTATTGTACCCTGCTCTTAGCGGTAGCACTGTGCACTGTGTCTGGCTTGTGCCTGAAGAATCTAAAGCATAATATGCTGGCTGAAGAGGTCTGTTCAGCACAAGAGGGATGCCTCAGCCAGGGGGAAACTATTTCAGAGTAAGCCTAAGCAAAGGACAACTGCATTCTCTGCAAGACTTAATGTGGGTTAGAGAAAAGAGAGAGGCTCACTAGGTTTATTAGCTTTGGCCTAAATGTCTAGTATGGGCCATCTGATAGCATTTTAGATTGTTTGCTGACTATAGAAAGCAAAGAATTCTCCTCCCTGGAATAAAAGGGAAGGCATCTTGGACCATGAAAATATCTAGTCCAGAAGTAAAACTGACAGAAAAAGGGGGAAAAAAGCAAAAAGACAAGCAGAAAAATGGAGCATGAACCGTCATCATATGGTACATGAACTGCACACCTGATCTGGGCTTTTTCTATATGAGACCCCTGAGACCTTTTCTCTGCCTAGCTAGCTTGAGTGCAGTATTTTGGTGTTTGCCACTGGAAGAACTGCAGTATATAATGCTTTTCCGTATGATATGAGGGAAAATCTGTAGTAGTAGTTCAAATTTGTATTAGATTAAGATGGTCCAAAGTGAGGGAAAGTCAAAAGAATCAGAATAACAAACATTATTACTCTCAAATAATTTGAAAAACATTATAAATGAAGTACTTTCAGTAACAAACACTAGAAACTTCACAACTTTACTAGGTTCTTAAAGTAAACCTCTTCCTAGAGAAGATATAGATACTAAATTAAAAAGCGACATAAATGGAATGATGGACTTCTCTTGCCTGGAAGATAAGAAAGGAGAGTCAATTGTATGTTACCTGGTAATGAACTCTCTGGGAACCAGAAGAAACTGACTGCAAGTCCTAGTAAGAAAATGAAAAAAATCCAAACCTTAAAATTAGTTTGAACAGGCTGCCCAACAACTTAATCAACAGAACCTCCCATTTAGTGTTTCTATGCTCATCTCCAAAGTATCTAACCCATCCAAATTCATCAAGATTGAACAAAGAAGGCAATGCCATAAAAAATAAAAGCACGTCAAACTGAACTGAGAAAAGACTAGAGGTAAGTAAGGTATTATAACTTTAAGGGTAGAGAAGACCAAGGCAAAGGGCAGATAATTTTGTCATAATAAATGGAGATCACATATAATTTTTTTGTTTATGAAGAAGTCTTCTGAAGTCCTTTTGAAAATGTGAGGAGTGTTTCTTTATTTGCCATATAACTGTGTTTACACTGATACAAATTTACTTGGCAAACCTGGATTTTCATAAACCTCAAAGAGAAAATCTCTGACCCACTCCATAATATTATCACAACTTGCAAATTAACAGAGTTGAAATGAGTAAGGCTTTACTGGTAGATTCTGAAACCTGGTTAAAGTTTCATGATGGAGCTGCCACCACTGCCATGTCCCCGGGCTTCCTTGCTAATGAGCGCAGTGCTTCTATTTCCAGATGTCAGCAGTTCTGTGCACCGTTGTCTCCACACCTGCTTCCCACAGGGCTTCATCATATATTGTTTGTGCCCAAGGTAGTTTTAAAATTTTTCCTCTTTATGTGTTGAGTTTACTTTTCCTTTTTCTTATTTGGGGAATTCTATCTGTAGCTAACTGCTGTCAGTTCACTAACCATGGATTTTACTACAGCAAAGTCTTTTTGACAAAGTTGTTTGAGAGTTAAATTTTATAAAAAGAAAAGTAAGGTTTTTGTACCAATTATGAGTCAGTTTTTTATTGAAGATTTCACTGACATTCCATAATAACATATAAACATTATTTTGAAAATTGAGATGCCACAGATTTTGGGAATATAAATTTGAACATGAATCATAGGCTAAAAATTTCACAAATTTTAACTGCCTTTAAGTAGTCACATTTGATCAAAATAGTGAATTGAGACAGAAACATAAAATCTGAAGATTCTTCTGCTCTCACTCATGGCAATATTTAACATTTATCATTTCTCTCTAAATTTATGCATTCATAATTTCACTTTATCCTTAGCACTGACAGAAAAAATTAGTAACTTTTATACTGTATTTCTATCTGAATTTACTTCCACCAAGAGAAATAAAATCTAAGGCTAAGTGACCACAACTTGGAGGGATATTAAAAACTACATATATACTTTATTATACTATTTATGTATAGTGGGGCAGAGATCCTTATTTAGGGGTGTCCATAAGAATCACCAACTTTCTGAAGATAAAAATATTTCAGCCCCTTCTGAGAAAGGTGACTCTCATGAATATCATCCATCAAGAAACAATAATAAAGAAGTGGCTATTTATGGTTTTGCCATTTGTGGAATGATGACAGTAAGTCCTCCCCCTTAGACATTTCAAAAACAATCAATGATGATCATAATGATGAATTCTGGGCTCCTGGCTTTGCTGGTGCACTTCAGACTCATGGAGATGTAATACATAGGATCTCTCCCTTTTTGTTTCCACATGGTAAGACCAGATTGGATCAGGGAAAAAAATAATAGATTATTCTTTTGTATTCTGACAAATATCCATGAATATAAAAGATTTCTGTCCTATAGAAATTTCATTTTTAAAAAAGTTTAGTTGTCTCCAATAGACATCTCCAACTTGTATGCCAGATACAAAAAATTAAAGTAACCTTAAATGTCTATTTTCTTTCATTATCTTTTAGTGCTGTTTGAAACTCTGGATAGCTCATAAAATGCAGGTATGCAGCTGGCAAGAAGACAGAGGTTCTGAGTTGTAGTTATAGAATATACTACAGCAGTGGTGCCCCATTATTAACCCAATCAATCCTTTCCCATTTCAACCACCCAAGGAGGGAACAACAAGGGGTAGGGTGGGGGAGATATGCAGTATATGTTTTAACAACAAGCCTGCCACAATTCCATCACACCTCCAACTGTATGATTCCTGAGATAGACATATAGCTGGTAATTGTTCATATACATGGAAAGCTGAAAAAAAAAAAAAAAAAACAATTGGCTAAGTAAACTCACCTCCTGTAGGCGGTCTATGTACATACGGCAAGTCTCCAAATCACAGTCTCCACGGACAACTAAAATACCCAGAGGAATGGCTAAGGGTGAAGGAAAAAAGAAAAATCTAAAATAACATATTTGATTTTTCTAGGTTGGCATAAATGTGTTTCTCATGGTTAAAAAATAAATATGTTACAAAAATTTTAGGACTTGGAGAAGTTTCCATACACAGGAATTAAGTACCCTATCCCTACGTCTGCCTTATGATTTCAGGGTCTTATTTGTAATGGTCACAAACTTCTCTTGCATGATTTCTCTTATCCCTTGCTGTCTGGCCCATATCTCATGTTGTCTTTGTGGCCCTGCTATGAAATATAATATCCTTCTGACAAGGACTGGCTGAACCACAAGGCTGCTCACACCCAGCTGATAATACATGCCTGTACTTTCAATAGACAGCATAAGGAGACAGATCTCAGAGATTAAACATTCAAGATTCTAGACACTACTCCTTTCCTTGCTAAATGCATGGGCCTTAATCTTTTGTCAGTTTGTAACTATTCCATATTTATGGGCTCTTTAAAGCACTGTTACTACCTGGTGGCCAACAATCAGAATTAAAGGCATAAATTTGAAGAGAAAGAAGAAAGAGAAGTAGAGGAAGAGAAAAAGAAAGAAAAAAAGGGACAAGAAAGCAGAGGGGAACGAAAAGAAGAACTCTAGTAGCAAAAGACAGAGCAACAAGAATTAACAAATGAGACTAAATCACAATAAAAATGTTTTGCATAGCAAAGGGAACTATTAAGAGTGAAGAGACAGGTTTCAGAATAGAAAAAAATCTTTGAGAGCTTCCAACGGAGCTCCCAAATTGAAGCTAGATAGTGATCAGAGATTCACTTCTGCTCACTTATGAGCCTTCATCAAAATGAATGCATAGTATTTTTTTCTTTACGTAGAGAGGTTTAGGTTTGCAACTGTTTTTCCACACTACCCAACCTCTGGCTTACACATGCATATGCTAGTAGTAAATACATAACTATCAACCAAATAGCAAACACCTGAAGCAGTATAGTGATTTCTTTAACAGAATAGGGCTGAAGAGAGGCATTTGTTCTATCATATTCTAAGTGGCAGGTATATGCATGTCTATTTTACTATTAAATGTTTGTATTTTATATATACATTGTGGTGGTTTATTACACCTGTCAACATGACTGAGCTAAAGGATGCCCAGACAGGTGGCAGAAGATTATTTCTGGCTGTGAAGGTGTTTCTGGAAGAAATAAGCACATGACCAGTGGGCTACCTAAAACATGATCTGCCCTTATAAATGTGGAGGGCAGTATCCAATGTGTAGAGAGCCTGGACCAAAGACAATGAAGTGTGGATTTTCACTCCTTCAGCTGGGACATCCACCTTGTGATGTCAGGTATCACCATTCTTGCTTTTCTGGTCTACGGACTCTGGAACTTAAATCAGTGACAGCCATAGACTTTACCCTTTTCTCAGGCCCTCAGCTTTAAAACAGAAAATCCACCATCAGGCAAGATGGTTTGTAGGTCTTGAATTTGGCCTGACTGACACTGCAAGTTTCTCAGTTTGCAGATAAGATACTGTGGGAACTGGGCTCCATAAAATAGGAGCCCATCCCCATACCACATCTCCTCTACTATTTCATATTCTAATGGTTCTGTTTCTCCAGTGAACTCCGATTCTTATAATATATTCTAACACTTAGGGAAAAAACAATCATCTGAATACCAGGAAGTGAACACTCAAAAAGATGATGAAGATTTAACAAATTCAGGTGTAGAAATAGGAGAGAAATTATGGCATTAACTGATGATCTTCTGTCCTGAAGAAATTATACTACCAATTACTTATTCCCAGCCCACACTTAAGTTCTGCCCTGCCTCTCCTCTAAGGCTTTACCCTGATCTCTGTTAATCTATTTCTTTTTTGTTGTTGTTTATTTAAATGTCTTATAATCACATTCTTTTTTTTTTTTTTTTTTTTTTTTTTTTTGTCTTTTTCCTTTTCATCGGTACCGGAGATCGAACTCACAACTGCCTGATTTACAAGGCAGGTGCTTATGCCGCTGAGCTAAATCCCCAACCCAATCATTTACAGTTTTACATGTGCATACTCTGGGTTTTGTGTTTGAAATAAAATGCCAACAGGTCACACTAACTCTGTCTTCTATCCTAGAATGTATGCTTGAATCATTATACAAATTTATGCCAAATAATGCAGAAATTAACACTAGTCATCTTCAGCAAATTGAAAGCTTTCTAACAGCCAGACCACAAGTACAGTTTTTTCCTTCAGAAAAAATTTCTAAGTGTACTAAAAGAAAATATATCAAAATATGATTTACAAAATATATATTTTACCAAAAAGCTAAGCAAAATGAAAGAATAGATCAATTTAGGTACCCTATATGGGGGGTCAAATTGCTTTAAACATCAAAAGCCAATGTTGTTAAAGGCAGTCACGCAAGATGTCTATAGTTTAAAAAAATATATAAAAAAATATTTTCTACAAATCAAGAAGTATGATGTAAAAGAAAGTCAAATAATTTCCTCAATTAATTCAGTTATTTGAATGGAGAAAGATAAAAGACCCTGGCCGGCTACCTTTAAAGTAAACCGCCCCTGCCAGGGATCTCTGAATTATATTCTGATCCAGTATAAGTTAGCTGAACTACAATAAAAATCTACAGTGGGTGAGGACCTGAGGTTAATGCTCATGTAAACTTCATGAGTATCCACAAACTAGTTTGACCTAGAAGCGTGGCTGCTCTGAGCCTAGACCCGGTGTTCAGTGAAGTACCACAAAGAGAATTAGCCAAGCAGAGAAGTAATTTATTTCCTTATATGTAGAAACCATACTGTATTTATGGAAGAGCAAGTCAAGCCAGAACAGACTTCCATTATATGTGTGCTTGTAACATGATCTGATCCCTGCTACAGTGAAGATACATACTCTTGAGACTATGTAACATGATATTATAATGTGATTCCCATGAACTCAGCCATGGGTGGAAAAATTCTGGATAAACAGGAAGATAATGGTAATGATTGTAACCTATGAAGAAGGAAGAGAAGCAAGATGAATGGGAGAAATAGCAAAAGGAGGGAGGAGGAAGCAGTACAATGGGAAAAAGCAGAAGGGAGAGCAAGGAGGGAGGAAAAAGACGTTTGCTTACATTAGTGGAAACAGTTTTATTGTCAGCTTTATTGTTATTTAACCTCTGCCACATCCTGAGAGGTAGATGTCATTATTCCTGTTTTTAGAATGAGGAAACTGGGCCTCAGCAAGCTGAGGGGACACACCTTGAATCTTGCAACTAGTAAATAAAACAACTAGGTCTCCATCCTAGGTTTTTCTAATGGAAAATCTCTATCACGAACTGTGCCCATTACCCACCGACTTGGCCCACACAGAAAGAGAAAGTCTTTATAGCTATTGACACTGAACTCAGACAAATGCAAGCAAAAGCAGGTGACAGCCTAGATAGGGAGAGGATGGGCTCACAGAAGAAAGCTGTTATCAAGCGGTTAGCAGGGCCAAGCTCAATCACCCCCAGCAAAGACAGGAGGAACAGGTCATGGGACACAGAACTATAAGTAAATTGGACATATTTTCATCAACAGACATGGCAGGAAAGGGATGATTTCACAGGCTCCCCACTCTCCTTCTTCCCAAAAGACTAGCATCTGAGGCACTCACAGACCATGAATTAAGCTTTTTGAACTGCATCTTGGCTTGCTATGTACATTTGCTGCATTTAGAGATCAGAGAACTGAAGTAGATGAACCCCTCTTAATAAAGAAATGCATGTATAAATTGTGAGCAGATGTTAATCATTTTTGTGGATGGTGCAGAGGATGAGAGTACATTAGATTTTAATCAAAATTGTGATGGAAAACCACGTGATTTATTTTGCTAATAAAATACTTATGTTAGAATTTCTAATACTGAACTCAAGAGTTGACTGACAGTTGACATAACTAAATAAAAAATAAGTCAAACACTGTAGTTTGACGTGTGATTGTTTATTCTGACAGGTGAATAAGTTAATGAAGGGTGTTTATTTTCTGACAGAATATTTACTAAACATTAGTTTCCAGTCTGTCTGTTATTTCACATTATCAACTTAGTAGCATTGCTACAATAATTATTCGTGTACTAGAGATTGTAATGTTTAATTATCTTTCATAAACCATATTATGAAAAATTTTAAGCATACATACTTTTAGACTATTTTGCTTGCTCGATGAGCAGTGTAGTATAAAGGGCCTACGTGATGAGAGAGATCATGGTACCTACCTCTCTGGAGTATTGTCAAAATTGAGGTAGTGCCTGCAAAACAAATACTGAAAGCAAATCCATTCTATAGTCACTCATCTTAGCTTTATTACATGCATTACTTTTTCTCTACTAATTCTATTATCATCGTGTACCAGCTATTTACAAACCCTCAAAGCAATTTCAGTGACCATATGCGAGAACTTTTACAGAAGGTAAAATATTGTGCCAAAGCCTCAAAAGATCAAATCCTACAGCAGTGAGAGAATCCAAAAACTTACAAGGACATGACGGGGATCACAGCTGGCTGCTCTGTGGCAGCAATAAAGGTCCTCGCCCAAGCAATAAAGAGCTGCCACTGACACCAAGTCCACACGAAAGGGATAATGGGATTTATAAAACGGGAGAAAACTCCCAGCAGTTAATTCACTCTCAGCAAGGTACAAAGATGTGTTCAACAAGACATCACTGATAGAAATAAAGGACTGAGAGCTCAGCACGTTAAAAAGCAAAAGGAAAAAAAAAAAAGGAAAGGATTTAATTATCTGACACCTTTGCTGTTACAATGCAATTTCCTGTTAAAAGAGAACTGCAGCTAAATGGAGCCATCTAATTATTCAGAGTACAAACAAAACTATGTTCAATGTGATCATTAAAAGAAAGTGTGATAACTCAAAGAGAAGCTTCTCAGAAACTGCAGGGAATTGTGACGATTAGATTTAAATTCTAAATATACAGATAAAAATATTAAATTTGCAGAGATTTTGTCAAGGTTTAAAAAGGGTTA